CGCTTCTGTTTGATCCCTGAACTGTTTGATCCGCTTTTGGTTTCCAGCCTACTCATTCCCTGGTGGGGTGATCCTGAGATCTGCGACCTGGCATTCACACGCAGCCAAATCCATCTCCACCATTAGGAGCTCTGGGGAAGACCGGTGGATGCTTAGACCCCGCGCCTCAGGTGAGCCTGCGTCATTCCCAGGGTGGGCCGCTGGTGTACCAATCCTGCTGGTTTCAGGTAAGCCTTACAACTGCTGTAGCAACTGGTCTCTGAACCTGACCTTATATCGTGACATGGGGACAATGTGCTTTGGCAGGAGGTGGCTGCAGAAACAGAGATGTGATCTTAAACTTACAATTGTAATGTGATTGTATCTTAACTATCAATCAAAATCTGCTCCATGTGCAGCATATCGATTGAATAGGTTGACCACCATCAAATTACTATTTCAATGGGAAGAGATTGATTGAAAAAATAACCAATTATTAATCAAAGTGTGTGACCACCATTAGTCTTAGTCTGCCCCCAGAAGTTGATGTGGACAGGGAGAGAGATGGGAGTGCTAGAATGCAGTCCCAGGTGGATATATAAGGGTATGTAAACCAAATGAAAATAAAAATACAAATATGGCGAGCGAATTAAGTGGCATTTGTGGGATTCCAAGGGGGACACTGGTGAAGATATATAAATGAATATTCCATGTTGGCCTAAGGAAGGAGCGCACATGCTCCCAAACGCACACGTCAATCAGTGAGCCTGCCCCCCCGCCTCTCCACTACCGGTGACATCGCGGCTATTGGCTTCAGATCCCTTGGAGTCCTAGACACCACCAGTGCGGCCAAGCAGTCCGCGGACCACAAGGCCTACAGTGCCTGGAGCAGATTGAGTCTGGAGGAGCTAATTCATGTTATTTGCGAGCCTTTATTCATCTCTTGTGAGTGGTTTTAACCATATTGATTAAACCCATTTTTTTAATACTACACTCAGATAAGCGCTGCTGTGTCTCCATTTGTGCCCCCAGAAGTTGCCTGTTTCTTGTAACATGACCCAGAGGTTCCCAACACACAGCAGGCATCCAAAATAAACATTGTCCAGGCAGAATAGGATGCAATAAAAAAATAAACCTTACTGAAAAAAATAATAGTAAATCAGAACATCGTTGTAGGTCCTCAGTAAAGATTTCATGTCAACTTCAGCTCGATTAGGCAGAGAAAATCATTCCAGGTAAACACTATCCTTTCCAAGGTGCCAACATACTGTCTTCCGAATCTACATCCTGGAGGTGGGTCATTCACCATCCCCTGGGGAAACATTGAAAAGAACCATGTTTCCCTAAGCAGAAACCAAACTTCCAATAATGCATCTTTGATTTTCTTCCCAACATCAAAAGGCAATGGGAAATATTTACTAAAACTGAAGAGTGCAAAATCTAGTGCAACTCTGCATAGGAACCAATCTGCTTCCAGATTTTATTGTCAAAGCTTAATTGAACAAGCTGAAGTTGGAAGCTGATAACTACCATGCATGCATTCTGAGTACGCCAGTTTTAGTAAATCTGCCCCATTGCTTCTCTGACTCTCCTTTCTTCTGTCACCCACATCACATAATCTAACCTGTCCTTAAATAAACTTCTGATAGGCCCCAGCTCCCATTCTCAAATGACAAGAAAAGCTCCAATCAGGAAAAGGAACTACAGTAATAACATTTTTAAAGGATCCTACATGTTCCCATTTACATATATGGCTCCACATAAAAACAAGAGTTTTAAATTTTACACTCATTGATAAAGTTATTTCAATTATAGGGCCAGTCCATCCAAAAGCGTTATGCCAGTTACAGTGCCTTGAAAAAGTATTTCTACCCCTTGAAATTTTCTACATTTTGTCATGTTACAACCAAAAACATAAATATATTTTTTTGGGATTTTATATGATAGACCAACACAATGTGGCATATAATTGTAAAGTGGAAGGAAAATGACAAATGGTTTTCAACATTTTTTACAAGTAAATATCTGAAAAGTGTGGTATGCATTTGTATTCAGCCCCCTGTACTCTGATACCCCTAACTAAAATCTGGTGGAATCAATTGCCTTCAATATTCACCTAATTAGTAAATAGAGTCCACCTGTGTGTAATTTAATCTCAGTATAAATAGAGCTGTTCTGTGAAGCCCTCAAAGGTTTGTTAGAGAACATTAATGAACAAACAGCATCATGAAGGCCAAGGAGTTGTGGAGAAGTTTAAAGCTGGTCATAGCTGGGTTAGGGTATAACAAAATATCCCATGCTTGGAACATCTCATGGAGCACTGTTCAATCCATCATCCGAAAATGGAAAGAGTATGGCACAACTGCAAACCTACCAAGATGTAGCTGTCCACCTAAACTGACAGGCCAGGCAAGGAAAGCATTAATCAGAGAAGCAGCCAAGAGGCATATGGGAACTCTGGAGGAGCTGCAGAGATGCACAGCTCAGGTGGGAGAATCTGTCTGGCAAACACAAATGCTCCTGCGCTTGGGGATGGACTCGATGCAGGCTACAACCACATAAGGAATGTCCTGGAACATGCACACCTTGCTGCCCTCAAATAGACTGGGGGAATCCAAATGTACTGAATGAGGAAAGAAAAAACAGAGGGCGCATGGGCATCGTGCATTACCATAAAAAAATGTTTAATAAAAAATAAAGTATGTGTTGTACTCACAAACGACAATATAGTCAAGGCACATCACAAAGAACAGCTGGGTCAACACCGCGCTGAGTAACAGTCCGCAATAGGGAGTATAGACATCCAAAAGGCTGACGCATTTCGAGGACTTGCCTCTTCCTCAGAGCCACTCAATGGCTCTGAGAAAGAGGCAAGTCCTCGAAACGCATCAGCCTTTTGGATGTGTGCCCTCTGTCTTTTCTTTCCTCATTCAGGAGAATCTGTCTACAGGACAATTATTAGTCGTGCATTCCACAAATCTGGCCTTTATGGAAGAGTGGCAAGAAAAAAGCCATTGTTGAAACAAAGCCATAAGAAATCCCATTTTCAGTTTGCAAAAAACCATGTGGGGGAAACAGCAAACATGTGGAAGAAGGTGCTCTGGTCAGATGAGACCAAAATTGAACATTTTGGCCTAAAGCAAATCGCTATGTGTGGCGGAAAACTAACACTGCACATCACCCTGAACACACCATCCCCACTGTGAAACATGGTGGTGGCAGTATCATGTTTATCATTCTTTTCTTCAGCAGGGACAGGGAAGCTGGTCAGAGTTGAGGGAAGATGGATGGAGCCAAATACAGGGCAATGAAAACCTCTTAGAGTCTGCAAAAGACTTGAGACTGGGGCAGAGGTTCACCTTCCAGCAGGACAATGACCCGAAACATCCAGCCAGAGCTACAATGGAATGGTTTAGATCAAAGCATATTCATGTGTTAGAATGGCCCAGTCAAAGTCCAGACCTAAATCCAATGGAGAATCTGTGGCAAGACTTGAAAATTGCTGTTCACAGATGCTCTCCATCCAATCTGACAGAACGTAAGCTAATTTGCAAAGAAGAATTGGCATAAATATCACTTTGTAGATGTGCAAAGCTGGTAGAGACATCCCCAAAAAGACTTGAAGCTGTAATTGCAGCGAAAGGTGGTTCTACAAAGTATTGACTCCGGGGGGCTGAATACAAATGCACGCCACACTTTTCAGATATTTATTTGTAAAGAATGTTGAAAACCATTTATCATTTTCCTTCCACTTCACAATTATGTGCCACTTTTTGATGGTCTATCACATCCAATCCCAGTAAAATACATTTATATTTTCGGTTGTAACATGGAAAAATGTGAGAAATTTCAAGGGGTATGAATACTTTTTCAAGACACTGCATAGGCAGAGCTTGGTGAGTTGGGTTAAATGTCATGGGTACACCAACAGTGAGATCTTTCTGGAAAAATTCTCTACTCTATTCCTCTCCTCCTGGGAGTTTTGAGTGTTCCCACCCACCACAATGTGGTTATACATTTCCTGGTACATTCTCTATTCATCCTGCTGCCAGGTTTCAGCATGTGGTGGATCGGGTTGATAAATTATTGGGAGGGGCTGGACATCACCCAGATGTCGTGGTCCATCTTGGAACCAATGACAGAATACATGGAAGATGGATGCTCCTTAAAAATCAATTTAAAGAACTAGGCTGCAAGTTATAGGAAAGGACCTCCAAAGTGATATTCTCTGAAATATTACCTCTGCTACTCAGGAAAGACAGGCGGAGATTAGAGAACTGAATGCATGTCTAAAGACCTGGTGTAAGAGGGAAGGATTTGGGTTTCTAAAGCAGTGGGCGGACTTTTCATTGGGGTGCAACCTATATGCTAGAGATGGTTTGCATCTAAATGAAAGGGGGTCTGCAGTGCTGGTGGAGAGGTTTATGGGACTTCTGGAGGAGTATTTAACCACTAGCCTACAGGGCACTTATACCCTCTTCCTGCCCAGGCCAATTTCCAGCTTTCAGTGCTGTTGCACTTTGAATGACAATTGCACGGTCATGCAACACTGTACCCATATGACATTTTTATCATTTTTTTTGTTACAGAGCTTTATTTTGGTGGTATTTAATCACCTCTGGGTTTTTTATTTTTTCTTAAACAAACCAAAAACCACTGAAATTAAAAAAAAAATTTTTTTTCTTAGTTTTTGTTATAAAATTTTGTAAATAAGTGATTTTTTCTCCTTCACTGATGTGCAATAATGAGGCTGCAGTGATGGCAACTGATAGGCTGCACTGATGGACACTGATAGGTCGCACTGATGGGCAATGATGAGGAGGCACTGGTAGGTGGCACTGATGGGCATTGACAGGCATCACTGATGGGCACTGAGAGGCAGCACTCATATATGGCACTGATAGGTGGCACTGATAGGTGGCACTGATAGATGGCACTGATAGGCGGCATTGACTGGCACTGATAGGCGGCACTGACTGGCACTGTTAGGTGGCACTGATAGGCAGCACTGATAGGCAGCACTGACGGGCACTGATAGGCGGCACTGATGCACACTGATAGGTGGCACTGACTGGCACTGATTGGCAGCATTGATAGGTGGCACTGACTGGCATTGATAGGTGGCACTGACTGGCACTGATGGGTGACACTGAAAGGCAGCTCAGATGGGCACTGATATGTGGCATTGATGTGGCACTGATGGGTACTGAAATGTGGCACTGATGGTCACTGGCAGGTGGCATGGATGAGCACTGAGAGCTGGCACTGATGGACACTGACAGGTGGCGCTGCTGGGGCTACACAGATCATCAGGGCACACTGATTATCAGTGCTCTGATGATCTGTGTACATGTCCCCTCCGAGGAATGCAGATTACCGGCTCTCCTCTCCTCACGAGCTGTCAGCGTGATAGCTCGTGGGGAGAGAAATGTCTATAACTGGCATTTCCCTGTTTACATGTGATCAGCTGTGATTGGACACAGCTGATCACATGACCGAGCCGACATCTTCGGCTATTTCCGTGGATTGGTGATCCGCTGTGTCCCTCGTACACTGCACGCTCTGGGAGCCGAGCATGCGCGGTTAGAATGGGAGGACGTCATATAACGTCCTCCCAGAATGAGAGAACCACCTTGCGTCCGTCATATTACTATATGGCAGGCGGGAGCCGGTTAAACTAGAATCGAGGGGGGAGGGAGAATTAGATTATAATGGGGCAGACAGATCAGACAGGGGTCAGTCCTTATTGGTGGGTGGAATGGGGAAAGATTGGGGGAGGGCTATGGCAGGTGATAAGAAAGTTCTCATGTTACAAAGAACCATTGGAATTGGTACCATTTGTATAGAAAAAAAAATGCAAAATACGTGTGCAAAAGGCATCAATGGATTAAAGTGTTTGTTCACCAATGCCAGAAGTCTGCCAAGCAAAATAGGTGAGTTGGAAGTTTTAGTGCATGAAGAGAACTATGATTTAATTGGTATTGCTGAATCTTGGCTTCATTCTTCACATGATTGGGCCATTAATATTCCTGGCTATGTTCTCTTTCGGAGAGACAGGGGAAATAGGAAAGGTGGTGGTATTTGTCTCTATGTGAGAAGTGATCTCAAAGCGTGAAAGAAGACCGAGTTGATGGAGAGTTTGATGAGACTGAAGCATTATGGGTGGAACTGCACATGGGGGTGCATACTACAAAGGTAATCATTGGAATTTGTTATAGGCCACCCAGTGTTAATGAGGAGGTGGAGACTCAGCTCCTTGCACAGATCAAAAGGGCTGCAAGGGCTGGGACAGTGATAATAATGGGGATTTTTAACTACCCAGAAAATGACTGGAGTAATGACACTTGCAGGAACAGTTAAAGGGCAAAAATGTATAAACCTACTACAGGAGCATTTTATGGTATAGTTCATAGAGGCCCCAACTGGGAACAATGCTCTGCTGGACCTGGTAATCTCAAACCATGCAGAACATATTACTAATGTCCATATAAAAGAACATCTGGGTAGCAGTGACCATAACATAATTTCATTTATTGTTTGCTATAAACAACAAGCACATACAGGAAAAATAAACACTCAACTGTAAGAAAGCTAATTTTCCAAGGCTGAGAGCTGCTGTTCAAGACTTAGACTGGGAGGGAATATTGGCATCGATGAATACAACACAGAAACAGGACTTCTTCAAAATGACTGTATGTGAACACACTGCAAAATATATTCCCATGGGAAACAAGTTTAAAAGGCTAAAAATCAAACATATGTGGCTTACAGTCAAAAATATAACAGAATATGTACAAAAAAAAAATTGAAAACAAGTGCATGACTGGGGTCAAAGAGAAGGCAAATTTATTAAATCTCTTCTTCAGCTCTGTGTATACAAAGGAGCATTGGGGAGCTCTTGTCCATAATGGGCATGGTATTGACACAGCCCCAGATGATCCACATTGGCTCACATTTGATATGATCCAGAAATATTTAGACAAAATAAAGGTGAATAAAGCACCTGGACCGAATGGCAGACAACCACGGGTCCTTAAAGAATTGAGCTCTGTCATTTTTTCAAATTTTTAGGGACTCTTTAATGACTGGCATAGTACCACTGGATTGGCGTAAGGCCAATGTGGTGCCTATATTTAAAAAGGGATCAAGATCTTTACCAAGTAATTATAGACCTGTTAGTTGAACATCTATATTTGGGAAGATACTGGAAAGTTTAATAAAAGACCACATAGATGAGTTCTTGCTTGAAAAAAATACACTGCTCAAAAAATTACATGGCACTTTGAAAACACATCAGATCTCAATGGGGAGAAATATCATGCTGAATATCTATACTGATATGGACGGGGTAATGTGTTAGGAATATAAGGATGCCCCATTATTTGATGGAAATTAAAATTATCAACCTACGGAGAACTGAATTCAAAGGCCCCCCAAAAAATCAAAGTGAAAAAATGACACAGCAGGCTAGTCCATTTTGCTAAAAATTTAATCGCAGCAACTCAGAATGGTCCTCAGTAGTTTGTATGGCCCCCATGTGCTTGTATGCATGCCTGACAACATCAGGGCATGCTCCTAATGAGATGACGGATGGTGTGCTGGGGTATTTCCTCCCGATCTGGACCAAGGCATCACTGAGGTGCAACCTGGCAGGGAACTTGGACTGAAACATGATATCCCAGAGGTGTTCTATTGGATTTAGGTCACGTGAGCGCGGGGGCCATTCAATGGTATCAATTCCTTCATCCTCCAGGAACTGCCTGCATACTCTCACCACATGAGGCCAGGCATTGTCGGACCCACTGCACCAGCATAGGGTCTCATAATGGGTCCAAGGATTTCATCCCAATACCTAATGGCAGTCAGGGTATCAAGGTCTTACGTTTCCTCAGGGCTTGTGCTGCTCCATGTGCTGGCATCCATCTTAGGTCTGCAAAGCATTGTGGGATCCTTTATGCTTTCAGCCCTCTGCAGCTCCTCCCAGGAGGTGGCGGCTTATCACATTTAAGTCTGCTGTTTGCAGCTGTCCATTGCATTCATGTCCTGTCTGTTGCACAGAAGCAAGCTCCTGTTTAGTTAACTCTTTGCTCTCCTGGATACCGACTCGGCTTTGGCTAAGACTCCTCCTGGCTTCTGACCCGGCTCTGGCGACCCATTCTTCCATTCTTGCTCTAGCGCTTTGGCTTCTGACCCCGGCTTTGGCTACGATTCCCGCTGGTTCTCGACTTGATTATCCTGGAAGACAACCTCGGCAGGGGAACTTCTGTCCTACCAAGTCATCCGCTGTTGCTGTCTGACTTGCATAGACTCTTGCCTTGTTTCTGTGTAAATAAACCTAACCTTTAATTGCACCTCCTTGTGTGTCTGGCTCCTCGCTCCCTGACACAGGGTGCCATTGTATAGCCTGTAGAGGTCTATGTCCCTCAATGGATATGCCTCTTCAGACCATCACTGATCTACCACCAAAACTGTCATGCTGAATGATGTTACAGACATCAAAACGTTCTCCTCGGCTTCTCCAGACCCTTTTACATCTGTCACATGTGTGCAGGGTGAACCTGCTCTCATCTGTGAAAAGCACAGGGCGCCAGTGGTGGACCTGCCAAGTCTGTTTCTGATTGTTTAGTCAGAGACATTCACGCCAGTGGCCTGCTGGAGGTCATTGTGTAGGGCTCTGGGAGTGTTCATCCTGTTTCCCCTTGCACAAAAGAGCAGATACCAGCCCTGCTGATGGATTACTGACTTTTTTACGGCCCTGTCCAGCTCTCCTAGAGTAACTGCCTGTCTCTTGGAATCTCCCTCCATGCTCTTGAGACTGTGCTGGGAGACACAGCAAACCTTCTGACAATGACATGTATTGATGTGCCATCCTGGAGGAATTGGACTACCTGTGCAACCTCTGTAGGGTCCAGGTATCACCTCATGCTACCAGTAGAGAAAATGGCCCTAGCCCAGTGGTTCTTAACTTGTTGGAGGTACTGACCCCCACCAGTTTCACATGCGCATTCACCGAACCCTTCTTAATTGGAAAAAATAAAATATGATTTTTTTAAATTCAAAACATAGGTATATATTTAGGTATATATTTATACATAGGTGCACAAAATGAACAAAACCATTAAGAACAAAGAACAAAACCATTAAAACATGATTTTCACACAAAAACATAATAATGAATATTTACTGCACGAATCATATGAGTCGGGTGTGGGTCTTCACCTCCGCCGAACCCGCGAGACTGACTCACCGAACCCCTGGGGTTCGATCGAACCCAGGTTAAGAACCACTGCCCTAGCCAAATGAAAAACTAGTGAAAAACAGTCAGAAAAGATGAGTAGAGAAAAAACTGCCAGTGGCCTCCACCTGTACAACCATTCCTGTTGTGGGGGTCATCTCATTGTTGCCCATCTAGTGCACATGTTTAATTTCATTACCACCCAAAGCAGCTGAAAACTGATTAACAACCCCCTCTCTGCTATTGCTACTTACCTGACCAGATCAATATCCACAGGAGTTTTCATTGACTTGATGCTATTCTCTGAATAAAAAAATGTTCCTTTAATTTTTTTTTGAGCAGTGTATTCTTTTTTAAGCAACAAGACAGCATGGATTCATGCCCCAAAACAAACAGGATATTCTGTTGTCTGTGCAAGTAACAATTTTGTGTTGTGCGAGTAGGAAACATCTGTAATCTGAGAATTTTGTCAAACTCAGCAATGGATTCATGAAAGACATCTGATCAGTAACAAATTTTTTATGAGGAGCTGAGCAAAAATTCTTGGCATCTGTAACAATTCAGTCTGTCCCTTGGACAGAGGGGGATCAGAAGGAATTTTTTTTTTTTCCTGATGGAGCAAATGTTTTTTTTCAGGTACTTTATTATGGCGCTGTCAATTTATGCAGTGCTTTCCTAATGGCCCGCTATATATACATATGATGCGATTCACATGTCGTTATTGTACATTCACATCAGTCCCTAACCCTCACTTTTTCGGATAGGTTCATACAGTCTAAGGTCCCATAACTCACATTCTACATATGTGTAACACATTCTTTACACATACTAGATACAGGATCCAATAAGCAGTCCAGCATGAGCCCAGTCTTTTTTCTTACCACTGGCTGGCTCAAGCCCGGAGTGTCAAGAAAATAACCTACTAGGAAAGTTTAACAAAAAAACATAATGCGTTCCACATCAATTTGGAGTGTGGAAGGAAACCAGAGGATAAACCCACACAGGCACAGGGATAACATGGAAAACTCAGGCCCCAGGTGGTGCCATGGCTGGGATTTGAACCAACGACCCTAGTACTGGCAGGTGGAGGTGCTAACCATTTAGCCACTGTGCTGCCCAAATTGGATAATGCTTTGCTGGGTTTTTTTGCCTTCCTCTGGGTGGGTAATAGGATTATAACTCACAGATGGTGGCGGCCTTAAACAAATTTTCTTTTTTTTTTCTTTTTTTTGCTTTGAGAAGCTCACAATGTAAAATACCAAAATCAGAGATGTAAGCAATTTGCATTTGTGGAAATGCTAGAAGGGCTTGCACAATGAAG